GGGAAAAGGTCATGAATGTCTATCTAAAATTACTGCTGGCCTTGAAAAATCAGGACATTATGGAAGAAGAAGAAAGGGACTAATGTTTGTTTGTCTTCAGAAAAACTCCCAAATTTGCACTTCTTGCAAATCACTGTTGTCCCGGCTGCAGTTGTATTGTTTTCCACATAATTACAAAAGTGCTATCGTGCTCTGAACAATCCCCTTTACACAAATACTGTACAAGTAATTACAATGCTGACCCCGACCGAATGGGACGCAGCCAAGCAGCACATGACTCCCCTCTCCAGAAGTTGGCCCGGGGTCCTGGGGGCCGATCCAGTGATGCAGCAAAACATGACACTGCCGGGTCCTTTCTTCCCTTTTCTTCCTTTCTTTGTGGAGCTGGCAGCGCTCTTCCGCAGCGACATGAAGCTCCATCCCCCTTATTTCTCTATCCTTAGTTCCTCTCAGCCAGCCCCCAAACCTTTTCTGTTCATTTAAACCAATTTCTAGTTTCATAAGATAAGACAGTATGAGCCTTTATTGATCTCAGTAGGGAGATTCAGGTGTCATAGCAGCAGCAACAGAAAAAGGAAAAATATATACGGGGGTAATAAGAATATGCGAATAAACATGTATTAACAAGATTAATAGAAAACACAAAAATAATATGAGTTAAGCTCTGATCTAGTCGATGTACATATATACTGATATGTGAGCAAAGTTAAATATATATACATTTAACCCCTGTATGGTATTCGGGTCTGTGGGACCCGTTTTCATTATTTAGCTAAAGAAAAATGATATGATAAATAATTGTTTCAAACCTTCACTCAATGGCCTTGGCTCATTTTCTTTCAAGAATATATATCAGCACACATTTTCAATGACCACCCACTGTACACCCCCCTACACATTTAAATTACATGCAGGGTGTTTGGGTCCCGGGGCCAACAAAAGTGTCGAAATTGTAGGTCCTGTGCACCTGTCTGGGCCTTGTGTGTGTGTGTGTGTGTGTGTGTGTGTGTGTGTGTGTGTGTCTTATCACAACTGATCAAGATGGCCAAATGATGCTCTGCTCAGAGGGCCTTGCAAATGATTTTGGAAGAGAGAGAACCATTTGATGATGATGATGATGATGATGATGATGATGATGCTGATGAGGATGATGATGATGATGATGATGATGCTGATTTAGAGGAAGAGGATTCAGAATGTGAGGATCACATTCTGAGAAGTGTGGCCTGGCAGTCGCGTTGGCCATGCCTGCTGTCAACCAAGATAATAGAGACGGCCAACCCCCTGTGAGGAGCCATAAAACAGCCCCCGCACAGCAACATTAGCCAACATATGATATTCACACCCGTTGTCAAAAATTTTAACTCAGCCATTCAACAAAGCAAGTTCCACATACTGGCCACTGTTTAAAGTTATCTGCTGTAGCATTGACATGTTGTGTATATCCCGATGTGATGTTGGCCTGCATTATTCCATAATTAACATTAGCACTTGGCATTTTCGGCTGACGCTTTTATCGCAAACTTACAATAAGTCGCATTCAACCAAAAGAAGATACAAACCTTGTAGAAAAAGAATCATATAAGCTACATCAGGTTTCATAGAGCCAAAACATTTTCCAAGTGGGCTAGCTCACTGACCTTTAGATAAGGCCCTCCTTTATTAGTATACACAGTGCTTTGTTAACTAGTTCTAGGTCCCGCCCTCGACAGTGGAGTTGAAGGAGATGAGTTTTCATGTCTCTGGCCTGAAGATGTGTCAAGCGTCCTGCTGTCCTGATGTCAATGGGGGAAAGCTCATTCCACCATTGTTGGAGGCCAGGATAGCCAAACCGACGTGTTTTTGTTGTGTGTGTGTGTGTGTGTGTGTGTGTGTGTGT